TATGCAACTACTTATACTCCACATTAGGAAAATGACACCGAAACTTCAGTGGGAGACGTGTTGTGTGATGAACTTCCGTATTCCAATGGCAATGATATATGTTGTCGCCGAAGAAGAGGCGATTATGGATGATAAAGAAGTTGTAGAAGCACGCCCATATCATATTGTCAATATAGATTTTGATGGAGGTAAAGAATGATATACGTTCTCCCGTGCCATTGACAAGAAATGTGAGTAACTCACTAAAGGTATTTGTCAGAATCAACTGCAAATCGACATTGTCCATAACTAACATAAAAACTAGCATGAGGTAGAATCTAGGGCAGATATCCTGCCACTAAGTAACTACAACCTTTCACTCAACTAATGGTGAAATATGTAAATATGATAAACTTATGCAGTCGAGAATAATAACAAGATACTGTTATGCTTTTCTGTTACTGTTTAGTTGTACGTTAATACAATACTATGCTTTTGATTTTTACATGTGGTGGAGTGGAGGAGGTAAATGAAACGCATTTCGATATGATGACGCTTTTTGTGGCAATGAAGAATGTGGTATATATCGTAGAGCTTGACATGGAAGATATTGGTATATATAAAATTGGTGTTATTAGTCATCATCTTCCTCGGGAGATTTTCGCTTTTTGCCTTTGCTTACTGGTCGCGGTGATGGTGGACAAGGTGGTATAACGGAAGGTAGTGTTGGTATATGAGGGGTAGGGATGAAAACAGTTTGATCATCCTTGAGGGCCTTCAAGGTCTTTTTTACAGCCGCTTTCGTTTGCCATGTCAATACCAGCAAAGGTACCAATTGCTTATAAAAAGCTTCAATCTGGTCTGGGAAGGCCATCGGACCAAACTTATGCACGATACAGACACAATGCTTCGGAATCGACATCATTTAAATTATCAGATTCAACCCTATAATTTCATTGTACAAAGATTAGTAAAGTAATATCAGGTTCATTACGCTTTCTGATAGAAGCTATACCGTTGATGACAAAGCCAGGAGCAATGACGTTGTTGATGGCTGTGGGATTGGGTTTCAGCATTCGCTAGAGCATGTCTTTTATGAGTCGCGGTACTTTGATATCGGATTCATTAATCCATTTCGTGGACGTGCTTCCACCTTTTAGATCTGCTTCGGCACATCTATACTCAAGATCGCGGTAGCTTATAATAACATCCACTTTATGCCTAGTATCCTTGCGATCAATAGTCTTCGTACCTGTGATACACCGGCTTACGTTTTTTCTTTCGCTAGAAGAGATACTAGCTTTTTCACTACTAATATCCAAATAAAATAATGTTTAGTTTCTTTTTTTATGTATAACTAATATGATTATAGTCATATATTACTAGTATTTAATAATACACTCACCTGATGATTGTAAATGCCGATTCATCGAAGCATTTTTCGATGAAAGGAAAGACATGTTGTACCATGTCAGCTTCAGTTGTTCTTTCATCCATCGTAGTCATTCGTAATGAAATAAGTCAAGGGCTTTCATGACTGCTTTGTGGGCCCAGTAGACCTCTGCTTGTCTCTTTGGATGAAAGGCTGCTTGGCTCATGAGTTTTTCAGTCAAGCTCTCAAGATCACACTAAATAGAAGAAAATATATAATCAATGTAGTTCATGTAATAACTTTCATATTGGGTGCAATCTATGAATAGCTCATACCAATCCTTCATAGGAGTATGTATCCTAGTTGTAATATTTCATAAAAATTAGGAGTTACAAATTCTTTAAGAGTTACAAAAATTTCTCATGATTACAAATTACTTTTAATTATTTATAAAATTGAATTTTATATTTATAAAAAAGATAAATTGTATAATAGACCAGTAAGATTTAAATCAAAAAATAAATAATGAAGTTATTAAAATTATTATCAATAATTGGAAATTTTTAGAATCTAATTGGCCTATTATAAACCATAAGTATAAATAGCGTATAGAAATAAAACATATTAAAAATATTGAAGAAATTAAAGAAATTTTAGTTAATAAACTTGGATATATATCAGTATTCTTTTTTATAATAATATTATATACTAATTGTGATTATCGTGGACCTTATTTCGAAATAGAAAAAGGGTTATTCCTATTATATCAATTAGTACTAGGTATATCAGGTATAGAAACTAATAAATATTTGCCTCAAGCAACATATCATAAATATTATAGAAAATTTTGGATAGATGAAGATAATTACAAACGAATAAATAAAATAGTTAATAATTCTTTAGAAAGTATGTTTTCAACAGTAAGATTATGTATTTTATCATCATATGAATATAATCCACTATTATTTAAGCATATTACATTTATTATTGATAGACATGATTTACGAATAAATTATATTAATACTGATATAAGACGTGAAAGATTATTTTCTTATCAATTTAAAAAAAATGGTATACAAACACAGATTTTATCTGATATGAATGATATGATAATTTATACATCAAAAAGTGATTATTGTTCTGATAGTTCTGATGGCTCTATGTTCTTAAATATGAAACTGTATAACAAATTAAGCAAACAAGATGTATTAGTAACTGATGGTGGATATACTTAATTTATAAATCAATTGATAGAACTTTCAAGTGAAAAAGGATATGATTTATCTAAAAATAATTTTATATATCCAATCCATAAAGAAATTAATGTAAATTTAACAGCAGATGAAAGACATTATAATGACATATTTGGTAGTTTTAGATCAAAAATTGAAAACCAGTTTTCAGAAATTGGTAATAAATACTATAGATTTAATAATAGTAAATTCATAGTAAAAATGAATAATATAAGATTTTATAATCTTCAGTTTTGGGCTGCTTTTTACTAAAGAATATAAAAAAGTTTTATGATAAATTTAATATAATTATACAAGTACATCATAAATTATGAGAATCTGATGACTTTGAATTTCCATTTGAAGCTAAATTAATAGATATTGTTATTAGTAATTCAAGTGAAGCTTCATTAAAAAAAGATGAAATGATTAAATTACAAGAACAGTTTTTAAATTTTGATACTAATGATAATATGAATATTGATAATGAGGTTATTGAAGATAATAATAGTAATAATAATGATAGTAGTGAAGATGATATTCCTAAGTTTAATGAAAAGAAAAGAACACGTAAAGGTAAAGGGAAGGAAAAAGCTATTAATATAAATAAACTTAGAAGTATAGAGGATGAAGCATATGAAATAGAAAGCATAGTTGACCATAAAATTGAACATAATGAATATATATTTTTTGTGAAATAGAAAAATTATCTATCTGTAGATAATAGTTGGTTGCATATTAATAGATTCAATGAAAAGGATTTAGTGAGTAAGTATACTCTAGAACATCATCTAAACATATAATTTCATATTATTAAGGTAAAATATTATTAAAACATAACAGAAAAGGACTTCCAATGATTATTTTCATTGGTCTTTTTTTCTTCTTTTTTTTTATTATATTTATATTTGATGATTCTTCACTATTCAATTTTTTATTAAATCTCTAATTTTCAGCAATATAATCTACTTATATATCTTTTTTTTCAATTTTTTCTTTTACTTTTCTTTTTATTGGTATATGATTTTTACTATGAGAACAACAAAGGTAATCTGGCTTCTTTCCACCAAGATTTGTTCTAATCTTTTTTCCATAGAATTTACCTTCATTCTTTCCTTGTTTGGACTTGTGAGTACAGAAGTTATTATTCATACTTAAGTATAGAAAAGGATCATTTAAGAATAAGTCTTTTATTTTTTTATTTATTTTTTTAGAGATTTTTTCAATTACATTTTCTTTAATAAAATGATCAAATTCTATATATATAAAGGATTCTATTTCCTTGCATAGGTTTGTGTGTAATTGTATATGATTAATTGGGAGAAATTCATTTAGGCAAACCATTTTGAGAGCACTTTTTATATTATAAAAAAAATTCAATTTTGTTTTTTAAAATAAATTATTTTATATGCACAATTTAAAACTCTGGACTTGAAAAAATATCATAAATAGATGAAATTTTATAATAAATTTGTAAATATAAGACTATGAGATGTTCCGCATAGGAATCGAGATATTGTTGCACGTCACTTGGTAACGGTTCAAGTTTTAATGGTTTGTAGCTTCTGATTTCGTGCAACTCATTATGTATAAACTGCACTTGCCAACAATTATTATAGGGGTTCAGGATTAAGGAATGGATGGGGCTATCTTAATGTAATAAGGCTTGTTAGGTTATGGTAATTTGATATATGCAATGCTTAGTCCATCATTTATACTTACTGAAGGTAATCACATTCTTTTGCGAATTCACGTATCACGTCTTCGACTACTGTTCCTGATTTCAAGGTCCACTTTTATTCATCGTCAAGTTTTTTAAATATGTCATCGATTTTTTCCTTGTCGCTTGGCGACAAAAGGACTGATGCAGATGATGATTTTGATGCTGCTGCAGCTGATGACGATGGCGATGATGAGTTTAACTACTGCTTGTATGTCGCTTCCAGTTTTTTCCAGCTAATTCTAGCTCCTTTTTTCTATAAAAACGAGGTTTTAAGAGATATGAGCAGTTCACAGAAAATTAAATAATTAAATTATATTACCAGGGTGATATTCATTATTTTTGTCATATTTTTGATGCATGCTGTCTAGGATTGAGCGACATCAACACCTGTCATCTTCCTCAGGAGATTTTTGCTTTTTGCCTTTGCTTACTGGTCGTGGTGATAGTGGACAAGGTGGTATAACAGAAGGTGGTGTTGGTGTATGAGGGGTAGGGATGAAAACAGTTTGATCATCCTTGAGGGTCTTCAAGGTCTTTTTTATAGCCACTTTCGTTTGCCATGTCAATACTAGCAAAGGTACCAATTGCTTATAAAAAAATTCAATCTGGTCTGGGAAGGCCATTGGACCAAACTTATACACGATACAGATATAATGGCGCATATGCATTACCAACTATTTTCATATAAAAACTATTGGTAACAAAAATTTAAAATGGTTGCAAATTGAATTTTATCTATAATAAAAAATAAACCTATCAATAATGAATTAAGAATATATAAATAATTTAAATGTGATGAAATATATTCCTGTTGATGAAAATATAAAAGATATTACATTGTTTATTGCAAAGTATTTATTATTAAAATATGTTCATCAAAAAAATTTAGAGTGAAGAAAAATGATAGAGTATATCATAATGAACATAATCTTATGAAAAAATATGTTACGATATATAAATTTAATATAAAAGATATAGCTTATGACCCCGTGTTCATTGCATATAAACTAATAGAATATAATGATTATACAAATTTATTTAAAATAGTAGATCCCATTTTATTTATGAATATGGTTAAAAAGATATTTTATAAAAAAGAATATAATGAAATTGAGGAACAAGATATAAAAGGTTTTTTAAAGAGTAATAATGAACTTTACAGTGGACCCCCGAATTTTTCAACCCCATTCGTTTCAATACCCGGGCTTTTTCAAGGAATTTCCAGGGAATGACCCAAAATCATTAATAAATTTTTCAATACCTCGTTATTTTTCATTTTCAATATATCTTTTACCCTTGAACTCTATACGGGGGTGAAGTATCTATATTTTGCAACATCATGTGGATGGTATTCATATAAAGATGTATGAATATTTTTAATACAATTTGCGAATTTGAGGTGTATATCTACGTTTATGACCATGTATGCCTATTGTTATGCTCTAAAAAAAGAGGTTAAGGTGCTCTGTGTCCCATTTATTTGCTGTCGGTGCAAGTGGTCTCTCACTTGTCTAAGCGTTTCTTTGAGGGAGCCTTCCTCTAAAAAGCAGATAAGACTGATCTCAAGTAGTGAATGGTGTTGTTTCAGAAGTGAGTTTGCTGGCTTCTCGCGGCTGTCATTCGTTTTTTCTTTATTTATCGGAGCAAGTAATTGATAAGATCGGATCTCAAGAGAAACTAGGGAAGTCATTATATGTTTATCAAAATCTTAAACAAGTAGAGCTGTGTGTCAGGTAATTGTAGAAAATA